CCGGGATCCTCCCGCAGCCGCTCCGAGCGCCGCTCCGGCCCCTTCCTGTCGCCGCCCCGCCTCCGGCTCCGCCCGCTCCCAGAGCCGCCCGGGAATCCTGGCCTCTCGCTCCAGCGGTGAAGTGGGGATCCGCACCTCTGGGACCCAGAAGGGAGCCTGTTCCTACCCGTCCTGGCCAGCACCTACAGGGCCCAGCCGGGAGCCGGACCCCACCGAACCCAGCAGGGCCCAGCAGTTCCCACAAGACCAAGCCGGGAGTCAGGACCCAGCAGGGAGCTTGCACCTACCAGGCCCAGCAGGGGGCCGTTAACTCTAGGGCCCAGCTGGAGCCAGCACCTATAGGACTCAGCACGGAGTTGGCACCTATAAAGCCCAGCAGGGAGCTCCCACCTGTAGGGCCCACCATGAGGCCCACACCCAGGGGCATAGCAGAAGCAGACAGCTAGAGCGTCCAATGGGGAGCACCCGCACACTGCAGGGGTCCAGTAGGGAGCACCCCGACACAGCAGGGAGCTGGCACCAGCAAGGCCCGCCAGCCAGGCAGCCCGTAACAAGAAACAGCAGGGAGTCAGGACCCAGCAGGGACCCTGCACTCCTAGGTGTCGCAGGGCCCAGCATGTTGTCAACACACAGGGCCCAACTGGACCCAGCACTGAAAGGGCCCAGGAGGAAGCTGGCAACTACAGGGCCCAGCAGGGTGCCAGCACCCACAGGGCCCAGCCGGGAGCTGTCACCTACAGGGCCCATGAGGGAGCAGTAATGACAGCACCCACCAGGGTGCTGATGGCTCAGAATCCAGCAGGAAGCCTGCTGGGGAGCCCAGCCTTAAAGAGCCAGGAGGCAGCCAGGAGGTATAGATGCCCAGCTGAAGCTAGCGCCTAAAAACCCAGCATGGAGCTTACAGAACTAGGCCTAGGAGGGAGCTGGCCAATCTAGGGCTTAGCGGGAAATCCAGCAGGTATAGGGTTCAGTGGGGGCGGCACCTATGAGGCCCAGCAGAGCCTGCAACTACCGGGCTCAGCAGGGAGCCGCAATTAGAGTGCTCAGCAGGGGGCGGCACCTATGGACCCAGTAGGAAGCCGGCAATTAGAGTGCTCACCAGATTGCTGACAATTACAGGCACAGCAGGGTGTCGAACCCCACAGAACTGGGCAGGGAGCTGGAACCTATATGGCCCAGCAGGTAGCCAACCCTGCAAAATTTGGATGGGAGTCATCACCTATAGCACCCATCAGTGTGTCAGCAATTATGGCTCAGAGGGAGTTAGGATGCAGGAGGAAACCGCCACCTGCAGAACCCAGCAGGGTGTGGGCTATTTAAGCCTCTGGACCCAGCAGGGTGTTGCACCTACAAGATCCGGGAGGGTGCTAGGACCCTGAAGGCGGGTAGTCCTGATTGAGCTCCAGTGCTACGGAGCTGTGTCCCTGTGTCCCCAATCCAGGGGGCTGTGAATCCTCCCACCCCTCACAGAGGTCCTGGTGGGCCCCAGGGTATCCCCCAGTTTCCACTTAGCTCTCTCTAATTCCCCAAAGTCGTTGGGGACAGTCAGACCGGCTCACTGTCTCCAGCGAGGAGAACTTGAGCCAGGTTGGACCTGGGTTTTCTCCTATCAGAATGGAAGCAATTAGTGCTGGTTAAGCGGCTCCATCACCGGCCAGAGTCCAGTGCCTGAACTTGATACTCAGCCTAGGGGCGGACTTGATATTCGGCTACACAGTGATTACTGTTTCTAAGTTCATGGACTTTTACAGTCTCATTTAGCCTCACATATAAGTAGACAAATTTTGAAACAGAGTTATCACACAACTTGCCAGAGGTTTCTGAGCCTGGGGCATGGTAGCCTAGGTCTCCAGAGTGTGCAGCCTGTTCTTTCCCCAGCTGGTCTGGTCAACTCAGCAACTCCCCCAGGCTCTTTAATCTCCTATCAGAGTGCAGCAGTAGGTCAAGAAGGGTTGGAGACCCTTGCCAGCCCCTAGCCTGGCAGCCCTTCGTGGGGCAAACAAACAAAATCTCTCTGACAATAAGTCCTTTTTGAATGTCCTGGCAGGAGGTTGGGGAGAAGTAGCCTTGAATGGGGACACACTCTGCCTTCCCTTCATGCAGAAGAAACAGGACCCTCATTTCTCAGGGCTCACTGTGCCCTAAAGCCTGTCCTATGCCCTTTTCAGGGGTCACCTTTCCTCCTCACAACATCCTGGGAGGCTGTTACCCATTTTCAAGATGACGAGTTGAGCTGGGACTTAGGGCCAATGTGTATTATCTTAAAGCTCTAACGACTCTTCATGCAGATCACATGCAGGGTGTTGGCAAAAAAGACGTGCTTTGCCCTAGCCTTCAAATCCAGCTCACTGGACGCTCACTGAGAATGCACTTGCATGAGGGTATAGCTCCGAATCTGGGTGCCAAGTGGATACACATAAGACCACGGGTTGTCAGAGCAGGAGAACCCCTCAGAAATCTGACCCAGCACTTCTGCCTACAGATGAGTCCTCTGAGGCCCAGCGGGAGAAGGGCTTGTCCTGGGTCTGCAGACAGGACGCGCTGCCCTGGTATGGCTGTGCCTCTCCTCTTAGACTCTGCTGGGTTTTCCTGAGCCGTGGCCGTCACATCCTGCCTGTGCATGCTCCGTGACACAGCCCCCTAAGGCTGTCCCCTCCCATTGTCATTCAAATGTGACTGCTAGGAAGTTCCTTAGATAGAACCATTCAATTGTGTGGTTTTTTTTTTTAAGATTTATTTATTTATGCATACAAAACTGGGGTATGGGCCAGAGGTGTGGGGGGTGAGAGGATTCACCAGAGACAGAGGGGGGAGCAGAACAGGCTGACTGACAAAGCACACTGCTAAGGGGAGCAGCGGGCAAGAGAGGAGAGGCCTGCTGTGCCATGTGGGTCACCCCCTTGGCCCAGGGTGGAACTTACACTGGAGCAGTTGCAGCTTGCTTTGCAGTGCTGTGCTTTAACCCACTGCACCACGAGGGAGGGCTTCAATTCCACTCTTAGAAAAACATGGTACTTGTCATGCCATCGCTCAGTGCCCAGAGCCCAGTGCTGGCGAATGCAATGGTGAGCAGGTAACAGTTCACTTGTTACCCTCAGAACAGGCTGTGACCATGTGCCATGCTCAGTGCTGTGGTTGAGGAGACCACTGGAGACCGCCTGGACTGTGCTGGCCTGGGCATAGGGGAAGAGGAATCCTGGAGGAAATGATATTGAAGCCTGGACAGGTGGCAGGGAAGTAGGCAGGTAAAGAGAGGGAAGATGCGAGCTCCTGGTAGAAAGTACAGCATGTGCAAATGCCCAGAGGCCATGAGGGTGGCCTTAGTCTGACCAGAGCAGAGAGCATGCAAAATCGGGAGAGGGTCGGGGGGGGGGGGTGAGTTTGCAGAGTCCATGGGATCTTGCTTGGCTACGTGAGTTTGGACACTATTTCCCCAAATGATTGCTGAGGGTGCCAGGCCTTCTAGTCCAAAAGGATAAAATAGTTCCACTCTTGGTGTCCAAGCTGGAATCCTCAGGGTGTCTTCATCCCTTGGCCCTCTGCCTGCCTAGAGGAGGCTTTATTTAGCCTGGCCTGCTGAGCTTTCCTTGGGATATCTATATATGGGGGGGAGAGGGCAGCCCAGTTGCCACTGTCCATCTCCTTCCCTTGGTGTCCAGTCCCCTCCCGCTGGCCCCGATACTCTGGTCAGGGGGCTCAGTGCTCCTTGCTTGACTTGCCTCCTCCCCTATCACCAGACTCGGCTTGGACTCCCAGGGTTCTCAGCACGGTCTCACTTCACCCTTGACTTGAGCTTCCCACGCCTTTCTTCTCTAGGTGTCCAGCCGAGCTCCTCCAGACTTCTTCATCCAGCTCCAGTTGCCCCTTAGCTACCTAAAGAAACTTCCCTTGGTCTCCCCATTTTGCTCCTGGATGGGCCCCCAAGAACTGTCTGCCCCACTTCCTTGCCATCGGGATTAGTAATAAAATCCCCAACACGACTGTAGATCTTTATGCTATACAAAGCCCCTCAGCAGAACAGGAATAATAATAGTTGCTACTTCACGGGCTGCGCGGCAGATGAGATCTCGTGGGGACCATGCTTAGCCCAGCATGGCATGCTGGGAGGGCCATGCTGCGGCTGTAGCCATGCCGCTCCCCCTCTCCTGCCCACGCCATTCCCATGATCTAAAGGCGGGACATGGCACCTGCCAAGCACCCCAAGTAGTCAGCGTCCATTGACCACAGCTCTCTGTGAGGGGGGTTGTGAGTATCCTCATCTTGGAGCAGGAAACTGAGATTCAGAGCGGCACGGCCACTGCCCAAGGTCACACAGCACACCAAGGCTCGGAACTTGGACTTGGGGCTTCAGACTCCAAGGCTCACTTGCTACAGCGCTTTTCTCTGTTCTGATTGTCCTTCCCCATCTGGAGCGAGTGTATTTCATGGGGGCAGGGGCTCCCTCAGGCAGTGGAACAGGGCGGGTTCTGCTCCCAAGAATCTAGACGTCAAGGCCTACCACCTGCTCTGAGGCTTCAACTTCTCCGCAAGGGCCCTTGGCTAAATTAGGTAGTAGGCCAGGGCTCTGGGATGGGTGGGGCTCACTGACCCCACTGGTGATTGGCCAGGGTATCTCGTCCTGGGGAACAGGGAGGCGGGAGGAGAGGGTGTCCCTACAAATCCCAGGGGCTGGAGTGGGCCCGGCCAGCTTTGGGTGCTGGCGTGCCGAAGAAGTGACCGCAGCAGGCAGCCCCTGTGACCAGCAACCATGGTAAGGACGAGAAGGGACTTCATTTCTTTGCTCACTGGGGAGCTCCTGGGCCTCTTCTGGACCTCACTGGGTGACCTGTCTGGCAGTAGCTTGGGTGTTGGAAAATGGAGCAGGAAGGGTTTCTGGGACCCAGGTGCCTAGAAGGAAGAAGGCCTTGAACTGCTCTCAGAAGGGGAGGGCTGGAAGGGCCCAGGTCTCCCAGGCTGGCGGCTTCCCTGAGAACTGAGGTGTCCAGCAATGTAGGTCACAGTGCTGAAGGGATCTTAGCTGGTCTCCCTCATGTCGGGAAGGGGACCCCACAGGCCAGTGACTCATCCAGCCAACCTGTGGGCTAGGAGCTTAGCCAGACCTGTCTGCTGACAGGAAGAGGAAAAAAGCTCCTCTGGAAGATGGGGGCCTGCAGGCTTCCGGCCAGTTTAGCTGCAGGACCCCAAGAACCCAAAGGCGATGGGAAGGGGCAGAAAGTGACAGGCCCATGCTGGAGACCTTGGCCACTCTGAGGGGTTGATTCAGAGCTGTCATTTTCCCTTGAAATTCCCCTTCCTGTTTCACTTCAAGGAGTAACTAGACCCCAAGGCCAGCTGCCACTGCCTACACCAGGCTAAAAATAGCCTGCCCTCCTGGTAGGGGCCAGGGGGTGAGGGGCAAGGAGCAGGGCGGCGGCCAGGGGCCAAAGAACCCCTTGGGCCCCTCAGCCTTTCCTCACTGCCAGCCTCAGTCCAAAGCCCCCGGCCTGATGATTTGGCTTCCACGTGCTGGGAAGCCCCCACAGAAACCTCATTTTCATGCTGCAAACTCCTGAGCCCCTGCCACACTCTGCCCAGCATGGGGGTTGTTTACTTCAGTGAGTGAATCCTAAGAAGGAGGCTTCCAATCTCCATCTCTGCAAATTCTTTTTTTTTTTTTTTCTTAAAGACTTATTTATTGATGCATCCAGAAGTGGGGTATAGGCCAGAGGTGCAGGGGGTGGTGAGAGGATTCACCAGACACAGAATGGGAAACAGAACAGGCGGATTGACTGAAACACACTGCTGAGGGGAGCAGCGGGCAGACAGGCGAGGCCTGCCGCGCCACGTGGGTCAGCTCCCAGGCTGGGGATCGCACTCATGCTGAGGTGGCTCTGGCCAGCTTTGTAGTGCTGTGCTTTAACCCACCGTGCCACCAGGGAGGGCCCCAGCTCTGCACATTCTTGGAGGGGAGGGAAGGTGAGCTGCTGACACTCAGTGGGCGCTCGGGCAGATGTTTGCGGAGCCCCTGTTCAAGCCGAGGCCCTGGCAGGAGCGAGGGAAACTGGCAGATATTGCTGGAATGGGGCTGGCCCTTTACCAAGTGCGCTCACACCCTGAATTCATCCCATCCTTGAGGAGCTGCTGAGAGGAGAAGCGGGGACATTAAGTAACTCACCCGAGGCCACCGGGGGTTCCTTCCTTGGCCTCTGAGTGACAAGCGAGAAGGCCTTGGGTATCCTGCGCTTCCTTTCTAATTATCCAACTGGGATGCCATGCTGAAGGGCCAGTTTGGAGTTTTGCAGAAGGTCAAGGGCACTTCCAGAAGCAGGGGGGGAGGAGAATGGAGTGAAGGCTGCATGCACTCCACAGCCTCTCTGTGCTCTACCTAGACGGACCAGCAGGCGGAGGCCCGGTCCTACCTCAGCGAGGAGATGATCGCTGGTGAGTGGGGCAGGCAGCCTGGCTGTTGGGGGAGTCGTCTGTGGAATGTTCAGTGTCTAGGCTGGTGGGAGGGCAGATATGAGCCAGCCGGTCCAGCCAGGCTACCTCAGCCCTCTGCCTCTGTCCCCTGGCAGAGTTCAAGGCCGCCTTTGACATGTTTGACGCTGATGGTGGTGGGGACATCAGTGTCAAGGAGTTGGGCACTGTGATGAGGATGCTGGGCCAGACCCCCACCAAAGAGGAGCTGGACGCCATCATTGAGGAGGTGGACGAGGATGGTAAGGGGGTCGCCCGGGGGGAGGGTGAGGGGGGAGAGGCGGGCACCCTGCATGGTGCACTGGCCACTCGCTCCCCCCAGGCAGCGGCACCATCGACTTTGAGGAGTTCTTGGTCATGATGGTGCGCCAGATGAAAGAGGACGCCAAGGGGAAGAGCGAGGAGGAGCTGGCTGAGTGTTTCCGCATCTTCGACAGGTGCCTGGGGGACCTGGGAGTGGAGCGAGGTGCTGCGTCTTGGGCAGGGCACAAAGGTTTTGGGGTGCAGGGCGGAGGAGGGCACAGCCACCACGCCAGGGCAGCTCATCCGGCCTGCGCTGAACCCTGCCTTGTCCCCAACCCTGAAGGAACGCAGACGGCTACATTGACGCCGAGGAGCTGGCTGAGATCTTCAGGGCCTCTGGGGAGCATGTGACAGACGACGAGATCGAATCCCTGATGAAGGACGGTGACAAGAACAACGACGGCCGCATTGACTTTGACGGTGAGGGCCGTAGTGGGGCGTCTGGACGCTACCCTACCGCGGCCGAGCCCCGCCCCACACCCCGGGGGCTCCAGGCGGCTCTGTGAATTTGTGGGTTACTGTGCAGGCGCCCCCTGCGTGTCCGAGCCCGGACACGCGCCCGCGGCACAGCCCCAGCCCTGACCGCCTCTCCCCTCCTTCCCCGCAGAGTTCCTGAAGATGATGGAGGGCGTGCAGTAAGACGCCGGACTCGCCGGCGCCCGCCCGCGCCCCCTCGGGCACCCGCGGCCGCGCCCGCGCGGGGGCCCGCCCGCGCCAGGGAGGCAGCCGCGGCCCCTGCGGGCTCTGTGTCTGGAGGAATAAAAGCAAACATGGCAAAGAGCGTGGCCTGAGTGAGGGGCGGGCGGAGGACCACACTCTGGGGGCCCGGCCCGGCTGGGCTGCCTCATTCGACCCCACCGGGGAGTCCCGCAGCCGGGCCGTCTTCACTTCCCCACGCGCCTTCCTTTCTGGTGCCTTTGGGTCTTGGGTGTGTTGCTCTTGGCTTCTGCGCGCTGGCACGCTGGGGTCGGGGTGGGCAGCGTTTCCTTGGTGCGTCCTGGGCTCCGTCCAGGGGATGACGGGGTGCGGAGGCACGCGGCGGGAAGGAGATGATGACCTCATCTCTCGCTCCACCCCTGCCTTCAGCCCCACCCAGTGGCTCCAGCAGAGGGCCGGCCACAGGGTCTCGCTTGCTGTTCTCCTCCTAAGTGTCCTCTTGATTCTGGAAACAAATCTAAATTCTCTCCTTCACCTGTTTCCCACACTGTCCCTGCCCTCTCTGGGTCACCCCCACGGGGCAATTTATCATTTCACTGTGGACTGTGGAAGTGCCCCCTCTGCCTTCCTGCCTGTTGTAGGCTGCTCCCCTGAAGGGATGCCCTTCCCCCTCCAGGAGAAATGCCTCCTCATTCTTTGACCCATCTTTCCTCCCAAACCACCTTCTCCCTGACCCTGCCCCTGGCCCAGAGATGTGGACTGTTGGGAGAGGACAGGCCTCAGGTCAAAAGATAGTTAAGTGCATGGTGACTTCAGGGTCAGGCTGAGCTGGAATTCTGTGGTGACAAATTAATCCAGCTGGGATGACAGATCTGCCTGGCAGTTCACAGTGCCTGGCCCAGCGAGCGTTCAATATTTGCTGTCATTAACGTGATTATAATCAGTCCAGAAACCCTGATGTCTGCTGCCATTCATGGCTTGCCATGCCCTCTCCAACAGCTTCCTGTTCTCTTCCCCATCCATGCCTCTCATATATTCCCAGCTTCTTTCCAGCAGGAGCCATGCTGGACTAGCCTTGCTTAGGTGGTCTCATCATCCCCACAGCCTTAGGCAGATGCTGTTATGTCCATTTGGAAAAGGAGGAATATGAGGTCAAATACGCAGACCTGAGATTTCTGCTTCTTCAGGGACAGAAAAAAGAGCAGCTGGTGGCCCGCTCCCAGTCCCTTCAACACTCTGCAGAGCTATAGCTTATTTACCCCAAGTTACACCAGTAATACAGCTGGGGTCCTCTGGTATTCACTAACACTCAGGGCGCACAGCACCACTCCGTGGAAGCAAGCACTGTCATGACAAAGTAAGTGTGGCCAGCAGGGAACAACCGTAGTCACCCCACACACCCTTGTGAACTACTTCTTCTCCCTGGAGAGAGGAAAGGGTGAGAGCCCAGGTCCTAACCACGCCCCCAGCCTGCTCCCCACTTAGGGCAACCATGAAGCATCAATTTGTGGAAAAAACAAACAAAAGACACCCCCCCAAATGTATTTATTTAATATATTTATCACAAGAGTTTCACGAAGAGACTTAATTTAAAAAACAAACAAAACAGAAATGACAACACAGCTTGAGATAGAGTTCTGTACAGAAACCATGGAGAGGACAGAGCAGCCAGGGAGGACACGAGACGCTGAGGCGGCCGGCTCCGGTCAGGGCTCCTGGCTGGGGACTTGCTTTGAGTAGGTTTCTTGCAGGTACTTCTTAAAGGCTGGAAGAGAACAGGTGCGTTTTGGCGACAGAAGTTCAGGCAGGCGAGCGGGCAGCTCGGGCCGGAGGGTACAAAGGTGGGGGCCCAGGGCGGGTACAGCCGTGTCTCCCTCCACTGCCCCTCAGCTGGGTCTCCCAGTGGCCTTCTGGTGAGACTGGGGGGAGAAAGTCACCTGCCCACAGGACTGGCTTGCCCAGCAATGTGGAAAGGGTCATGTTCTGATTTCATAGTGAACAGGAAAACCAGGAATACCAATAGAGGCAGATCTGGGTGGACATTTCCGACCCCACACCCAGTCCTCAGACACGTTCCCAAGTCACTGGGATGCCTTTGTGTTTGAGGGAGGCTCTGGGGAGGGATCACCCCATGGCTGAGAAGGGGGACCCACCTGTGGGGTTTTTCCAGAGCTCAGCGGCATGCGTGTTCAAAGGGCTGTCGATGTTGGGCTCTGGAATGGAGGAAGAGAAAGGCCAAGTGAGCAGAGGCTGGCGGGGGCCTGTCAGGTGCCCAGGCCAAGGTCTCCGGAGTTACCTCCCAGCAGGCTCTGGATGGAGAGCAGGATGGTCCTGACATCGTATAGGGCGGACCACTTGTCCTTGAGGATGTCCAGGCAGATGTTACCCTGGGTGTCAACGTTGGGGTGGTAACAGGGTGTGAGGAACTTCACCGTGGGTGCGTTGTAGGGGTAGCCGCTGGGGAACTCCAGGGAGAGCTTATACCTCAGGTCTTCGTATACCTGGCATGGGAGACACAAGGTGGGCAAGCCACTGAGTCCCACACCCAAGCCCAAGTCAGGGACCCCTTAGCACCCGAGTTTGTCTAGGAGTTGACAGAGGCAAGGTGTTACAGTGGCTTCTGGGGGCTGCACAGCTGTGTCTTAGTCCAGTCAGAGCACTAGTTCTGATAAGTACAAATGAAGGAACTTTGGACACAGGTCTGATTTGTGCCTTATCTAACAGCAGATTTGCGGCACTGGGAAGCTACTCTTCTGAGAGTTGTGCCCTCCTCCTGGCCAAAGTCCTCACTTGTCCTTCATTCTGTCCCTTGCTGTCTGGTCCTGTGCAAGTCTGAGATGGGGAGCCCTTCTTCAAACCTGCAGCTTATTGTGCCACCGGCTCAGAGCGAGTGAACAGGCGCCCTCCCCTCCCCCAGACCCAGCCAGGCCACCCTCACAGGCCACCAGCCTCCACTCACCGTGCCAGCTGCTCCATGGATGGTCCCCACCCATTTGAAAAGATTGTCCGATTCAGGGAAGGCAGAGATTCCTTTGTCGCCAGACATCTGGGAGGAAACAACACTTGATGGGCTACTGAGCACACTTTGGGAGTCTCAAAAGGGGTCGGAGGGTGCGCCCCTACCCCTTATACTCAGGGCATTTTGACTGAGAACAAAGCAATCGGAACAAACTGATAGGCTTTCCTGAGGAGAAGACCCTGGAGTGAAAACGCCCTGGGCTCAGGCCTGGCGAAGGAGGGGGCAGGGAGGGGCCGGGCCCTGTGGGCACAAGGAGCTCAACCTAGTCTCCTTGGTGCTGGGAACTCAATTCACCAGATACACCCAGAGCCGGCATCTGCCAGGTTAACAGAGGAAAGGTCATCTAGGCACCCCAAGGTGTGACAGGACTGGAAATATGAAGGGTGGAAAGCTGGGCACGGCTGCCAGTCTGGGACAGAGAAGTAGGCCCAGGCAGGCCGGGGAAGGCCTTGCGCCAGCTGTCTTTTCAAGATACCCTGGTGTGGAGGAAGGGCTGGCGTGGGTGGTGCCCAGGCCCAGCCTCCTAGAAGAGCTAGCTGCCCCACCTGCACCCCTGCCTGGAGGAGCCCCATGTAGGTGGGAAAGGAGAGCGGTGGGAAGGTGGTGGACCAAGTGGCCGGGTGTCTAGGCAGGTAGTCACTCACCATGAGGGTCATCAGCTCCTGCTGTAGCCTGCAGGAAGAACATTCGGGGTCACCTGGGAAGTCTGGAGGGGCCAGACTTCCAGGTGCTGCTTCTCTACCCACCGTCTCCCTGGGGCAGCTGTCACGGCAGCTACCCCCGGCCCCGAGACCAGACCCAACTGGAGGGCACAGGGAGGTCTTAGTGAGTTCTCACATCCCCTAATTGCTGGCTCCCAGCACGGCCCGGGTGTGTTTAACCACGACTGCTCGGGAGTCTTCCTCCGACGAGCCTCATCATCTCCCCGCCGCGGGCTCCGCCCCACCCCTCGCCGAGGGTTCCCGCAGCATCAGCATTTTGGCCCGCCCGCGGAGGACCCCCGCAGGGGCTCTAGTCTTGCCGCCCTCCTTCGAGAAGGTCTCACGAGCAACCGACGCCTGGCGCGTCTCCCCTCCTCCGTACCTCCCGCTCCTCAAGGTGGGGGTGCCGGAAGTCTTCGTTTTCGGCCCAGGGCCCAGGGGTCCGGAGAGGGTTATTCCACATTACTCACCTCTTGCCCACGGGACCCCGGGCGGCGCCCCCGCTGGGCTCGGCTCCCTTGCGGGCGGCGGCGACGCTCGCGGCGGCTGGGTCGCGGTTCTGGGAGGCCATCCCGGCGGCGCTTGCAGGCAGACAGGAAGACCGACACCACGGCTGCAACTGCAGGGTTGCGGGGCCGCCCGCCCGCGTTTGAATTGTAACTCTCCGGCAACGCTGGCCAATCAGCGCCCCGCTTGGGTTTGATCCAGCCAATGGGGCGCCGCAGAGCGCTCCGTCACCGCGCAACTGTTAGACCCACCCCCTGACGCAACTCTATTGGGCGCTGGGGAAACCCGCTTCCGAGAGGCGATTGGCCGGAGAGTCTGCCATTAAACAGCGAAGCCGTAGCGGATTGGCGGGCTTTGGAAAACGCCGATATTAAATGGGCCCAGAAGAAGTCCACGTGGGGTGAACCCTTTTAAGAACGCCTGGCTACTCTCCCGAGCGGCCGGCTCCGGAGCCCGAGCCTGAGCCGGGGTCCCAGCTGCTGGAGGGGAGCTTTCAATCTTGAGGCACTGGTACCTTCCGTCAAAACGGAAGCCCCTGCTCCTCCCTTACCATGTCCTGGGTGGCTTTGTTGTGACCTAAGTGTTGAAAATTCATGAGAGGGACAGAGGCTGCTAGAGCAGTGGGCTCCCTACTGGAGGACAGGTTCATGTCCCGCTTCTTCTGTCCAGAACGTCCTCGCCACATGGTTTGCTGTGAGCTTGGCCACCTCACTCAGTGTTTTAACCTGTGAAATGGGGGTAGTAAAACCACTTTCCCTGTGGCCATATCATCCACTCCCATGGGCGATCACATCCTTTAAAAATAAAACAAAACCACTTCGCTCGCTACTTTAATACCTAAGTTGGGTGAAGAAATGAAAGGGGGGCAGGACAGCAAGGTGTGGTGTCCCCAGCTTTGTCCACAAAGCAAATACAATGGAGGGGTGAGACTCAGGGGCCTAACCTGGGGTGGTGGTGGGTACCTGGCCAGTTTTTCCTACCCAGAGCACTTGATGCTTCGTGAGCCCCGTGAGGCAGACCACACAGCAGGCTCACCAACTGTGTTTATTACAAACTGTTTAATTGCTTCTTATCCCAATAACTTTACAAATGACATGCCAGTCTGGTGGTGTTAGTGACCACGCAGACTGGCCCAGGCACAGCTTAATGCCGATGAGACCCACCTAGGGGCAGTCCCAGTGGGGCCTCAGCCATGTGGATAAGGGGCCTTGAGGAGGGCTGCCAGCATCGCTGGGAGCCTTGACTTCAGGTCTGTGGAGGGGCTTCGGCAGCACGATGCTCATTTTCTGTCCGTAGTGTCTCCATGTACTTCCGCATCTTCTCGACCATCCAGGAGGGTAGGACGAAGGATTTCAGCTCCTCTAACTTCAGGTCCAGGCAGCCTCTGAAACAGGCATTGGAAAGGAGAGCTGAAGCAAGGGTGAGGTCCAGGTGCACACCGAAGGCCAGTGTGGAGCAAGGGGAAAGCAGGGCATAGGCCTACTGGCTTCACCTGTAGTCATCGCTGGCAGCCAGGTCCCGGATGTCCTCCTCGATGAGGAGGTAGGCCTGCGGTGGGAGCAAAGGGGGTAGTCACTGTCTGATTCACTTAGGTGCGACTCAGTAATACTCCACCAGGGAAAACTGTCTGGGGCACAGTTTCTTGAGACAGTCATTCACTCGGATAGAAACTTAATGGATGGGAAGGTGGGGACTAGTGGCTAATTTATTCACAGCTTCCTCTTTTAAAATGGGGTCCTGAGGTGACTTATAACAAAATGGCAGGTGACTTGTAACAAAATGGCAAGAGAGCTAGCAAAATATACCTGGAAAGAGGAAATCAGGAGGAGGAAGCCTTATCTTAACTCTACAGAGACTATTTTGTTTGAACTTTGTGGCAAATGGGAACAGGAGAAAGCCCTCTGCTGTCTAGTAAGGAGACTGTATTGTCCCGGGAACTGCAGCAGCCTTGGCACCATGCTGAGGCTGCAGTGGACAGCCCCTGGTTGGTTTATTGTACGGGGCGCAGTGCAACGCCAGAGCGTGCCTTTTACTGGAAGCTCTTTCCAGTCAGGAACAACCGCGTGTCCTTTGGGTGTTTTCTTAGCTGGGCACTGTGAGCCATGCAAAAAGTCAGGCGTTTGAGAGGGGCTCCGAGGTGAAAGCCAACGGGATGATACCGTTCTTCCAAGTCAGCAATTGAAACATAAAAAAACACCTAGTCTTGCCAATGGCTTTACTTTAGACGCTCTCTTCTGCACCGTCTGCGATACTGCCTTTTATGTACTTGTGGTAAGTTCCCTGAGATCATTTATGATCTCTACCATGTAGGCATAAATAGAATATTAAAATAAAACAAGATTGCTTTCGTGGCTAGAATGAGAAGGCAGCTGGTCAACAAGGCCTTCAGAGTCTCCAGGAGCAGCGCTGGGGTGAGCAACGCTGCGTGTGACTGAAAAGCCCCTACATGATGGTTTTCGGATACGTGCCAAGGTGTCATTCCCAAGGTCGTTGCTTGATGAGCTAGAACTCATGAGATACAGGCAATTCTGGAAGGGGCTACCAGGCAGGACAACCCAGCTTCCCTGCACATGCTAACACCTATGGACTAACGGTGCTGCCTGGAGAACTGTGTTGAGGAATAATGCTATAGCTGTGTCAGACAGGAGAGCATTGTGCCCGAAGAGCAAAATCTGTCAACAGACATATGAGGGAAAGTGGTATTAAGTCTGGACCTGCCATTTTTATGCAGAGCCATACTCTAAAGAGTATGAGGTGGGAGGGCAAGCGGTGTGTGGAAGACTAGGGACCGAGAAGGGACCCAGGGACTGCACCCGCCCATCAGCAGGATGGGCCCTTTCTACCCTTGCAAGTCTCTTCTCACATTCATCAGGCGATGAGTCTCCTGCCAACAGCCAGAACCCTGGGCAGGGGCGCGTGTGAGCGGCGCTTACCATCTTCCCCCCTGTCGCCCTCATGTGATGCTGCTCGGCCAGCCAGTGCTTGTCCTGGGGGTCAGCGGCGTACTGTGAGGGTCAAGGCATGGGAGAAATTGGTCAGGAGCTTTTCTCTTTTGGTCCGAAAGCATAATCTCGGCCTGTGAGCAGTTTTTAACCCAAAAGACTTGTCCCCGGCTGGCCAGCTCGGCGCTCACCAGCCTCTGCAGAGCCAGCTAAGCAGAGCCCCGGAAGCTGCAGTGTGGGTCTGGTTGCCAGGGTTAGGGCACATGTAACCTCTACCTCTCCCTTTCTCAAAGCACAGCGTCTCTGGCAGCTGACAGGCCCGGGATGATTATCTTAGAGCAAGGGTCCTTTTTTAAAAAAAAGATCCAAAGATCTTATAACACGTGACTACTGGGGTATTTTCTAGATCAAAAACCAGGAAACCATGTTCTGGGGCAGTAGGATGGCATCCGGTTTAAGAACCTGCTTTTAGAATTGACAAGCCTTCAATTCTGGTATCTGCTGCTTATTAGATGGTGTAAACTTGAGCCATAATTTCCCTGAGAAATTCAAGGAATGTGTGAAACAGTATTACTACCTATGTTAAGAACAAATGATGTGACAAGGAGTTAATATCCAAAATGCATACAAAATAAACAACAAAATCCCAAAAAATATGATAAAAAAATGGGTAGAGGATCTGAGTATTTTTCCAGAGATGACATACAGCTGTCCAAAGGACACGTGAAAGACGTTTATCGCTTAGTAAGGAAAAGTCAATCAAAGCGACGGGAGACAGCATGTTACACCTGGGCTTTTGTGAAAAGGACAAACGGTAAGCCTTGGGGGGGAGGCGGCGGGCAGGCAGCCCTCGAACGCAGCTGCCGGAATGCAAGGTGCTCCACCGCGGGTCGGATGGAGCCCAGTGTGGACCCCTGCACTTCTGGGTGTTACCTGAGCGATACAGACGTACTAATGTGAACTACGTTCACGAGTGTTATTTACAAGAGCCAAGATAGGGAGACAGTTTAAATGCCCACAGCAGAGGAGTGGATAAAGAAGATGTGGTGTGTATACACACGACTCAAAACACCCGCCATTAGGAAAAGGAGGAGATCCTGCCGTTGTGACAAGACGGATGGGCCTAGAGGGATTATGCCAAGTGAAATAGGTCAGACAGACAAAGGCAAACTCCAAATGATTTTAGTGGAAGACGAAGCACACGAACAAACAAAGCAAAATCAAACTTAACAGGACAGGTGGTCACCAGTGGGGAAGGCTGCTGGCAGCGCAGAATGTAGCGGACAGGTGGCGATTCTGTGACCTCAAAGAAGCCGCGTGGGTCTGACAAGGCACCAAGCCCGTGGAAGGGCAGCACACCTGTCCCGAGCACACGTGCACTGCCATCCGCATCAGCTGGATGCTTTTGTGGCTGCAAGTCCAATTCCTTCATGAGGGCTAGTGAGCGCGTGCCCCCCACCCCTGGCTTTCTCCGACAGGGGAGACCAAGGCCCTGGAGCCCGTCTCTGAAGAGGACTGGAGGCACTGCCTTGCTCCCAGGTCTCTCCTGCAGACAACGTCTCAGGCAGTGGTTAGGAGCTGAGGCTTCAGACAGCCACAATTTGCTGCTTATGCATCGAGGGGCTCTGAGCAACCCCTTTTTGATTTGTGAGTGAGGACAACAGTACCTATTTTAGAGGGCTGCTCCATGCAGAAGAGTAGCTACAGCTTTTCCGTAATGTTTGGTATACAATAAACATTCAAGCAAACTAACTGTTATCATGGGGGCACAAAAGGTGAAGGCGAGCGGCGGAGGGGCAGCTAGACCCCAGGCCACTGTCTGCCCCCGGCTCTCTGTGCCATCTGGGGCTCCCGATGCCACCTGCTCCCAGCCTGGCCCCTAGCACTCACCTACCTTAAAGAGGTGTGGGTGCTTGATGTAGATTCTCCCTCTGGTGCCCCCCATCCCCAGGGCTCTGAAAAGTAACAGATGAGCAGTAAGGGTTCGGCAGCTGCAGTCCTCATAGGGGGCCAGGAGCTTCCCCCCCCCTCAGAGCCAGAGCTCTCACACTTACTTGTTGGCTCGTGATCCCAACACAAAGGTTGTAGATTCGTTCAGCCGAGCTGGATCCCACTGTGCAAAGGAGGCGGCTGATAAGGTGAGGTACACCTGGTGGGCAGGACTAACACTCCCCCTGCCCTCTCCTACCACCACCCTCCTATTAGAGGAACAGACATTATAATTCGCTA